TGGCAGTGGGTGGCTGGCTCGTGCCGTGCCAGGTGCAGGGTCTGCTGGCTGGGTGCTGGCAGGCTTGCACCTGGCACAGACACCGTAACCAGACCGTGCCCCTTTAAGGGCTCCGGGGCCGGGAGGGGGGCAGAAAAGTTTCCCTGGTTTGGCTCAGAGTGGCCACCAGGGTAAGCTGGGAAGGGCTAGCCTCCCACTAGTTCGAATTAAGTGGCTACACAGTCCTTAATTCGAACTACTTAATTCAAACTAGGCGTTAGTCCTCGTAGAATGAGGCTTACCTAGTTCAAATTAAGCGCGCCGCTAGTTCGAATTAAGTTCGAACTAGCGGTTTGCCTGTGTAGCGCCTATCAAAGTTAATTCGAACTAACGTCTGTTAGTTCGAATTAACTTTGTAGTGTAGACATACCCTTACAGAGGCAGCAAGCTGGGGAATGCGAGCAGTTGATTAGAGTAACCGATAAGCCTAGACCCGTTGGCTACTTGCTTACATCCCTACCTCCTTTGCCTTTTGATGTGGGTGTAGGTGGTGGGGAACTTGTCTGGCTGATTCCGGAGCAGGTATGGTTCCTTCATGGCTGGATACACAGAACTCACTTGGGCTGAACACGACCAAGAACTCTAGTTTGAAAACCTGGGAAAATTGGTCAAGAGCTGGGTTTGAATAGTGGAGGGAAGGAATTGGAGAGGGAAAATTCCTAACCCTCACCCAAATCCCATGACTCGTAGTGACCAGATCTTGGGAGAAGATTGAGCCAAAACTTGGACAGTTTTATGCTGGGATGCTAAGTTGTGGTGTGCAAATACTGCGGTCATGCAAACCTCCGCCAGACCATTAAAGGACCTTAAAAGGAACCCGTGTGCTGGGTAAAACGTGAGCTGACCCCATGGCTGGACCTGGTAGGGAAGACCCTGTTGTGGCGTCAGAAGTCAACGAAGAATAGAAACAAGGCAAGAAACCTCCAAGGGTGAAAAGCAGAAGGAAGAAACCAACAAGGTTCGGTGACTCTCGCCAGCATGTTACTCTCCAATGCCCCAGAGGCCTTCAGCGTCGACAAGCTTTCCCAGCGGGCAGAGGGGCGCAGTAGTTTGCACGATTTTGCTAACACACAAGACAAGGGGCACGCAGACCTGTCCGGGTCTCAGCTTCAGGGTTAGCTACGGGGCAGCTGGCAGAGCACGTCACTAAATCCTTTGGCTTCACTGCAGACCATCAGAAGCCGACTGGGAAATGGGTGTGGCCGTGTTTATATCAGGCCGGTTGTGGTGGTGTCAGGATTCAGGGGTGGGGTGTTTTGGTGAGATCCCCGCTTATCTTCTGCCACTGAAAAGCTTTGGGCTGGGACCCACTGGAATAGGATGGGTCCGGGTTCCCTGTCCCTTGCAGCTGCCCCACCCTGGGGTGGCAGCCTCCCTACCTTAGGCCAAGAGGCCTGTGTTGGTCTGCTGGAGCCAGAAGGCCGGCGAAAGACTGTCCATTTCTCTGCCCTGCCCCGAGGGCCAGTGCTTATTGCTGTGTCCTGCCCAGGGGCCAGAGAGCCAGGGGTGGCTTACGGCTCCGCCTTGGCCAGAGGGCTAGAGCCCTGAGACTGCTAATCCCCCCCCGAACCTTGCCTTATAGATGCACTGTAAAAGCCCCGGGACACAGGGAGAGAACGCCCGGGCTACAAGGAACAGATTCCAGCCAACGTGCCCCCGGCGCAGAGGACGCCGTATCCTACGGGACGGTGCACGGCGGCGCGTGGTGCACCCAGTTACACCCAATCCGGACGTTTGGCAGGCGTTTGCCGCAACAAAGCGGGAAGTCGCCTCGTTTTACAGACAGTCAAGAGCCAGGGTCGGGTCCTGTCCTTTGTGAAGGGCGGGGCCTGCCTGGAGAGGGAAACTGAATGTTCGTGGCCAGGCTGTTGACAGACGGACTCAGGCACTGACGCAGTGCGGGAGGTGGCATTTATTGGGATCCCAGCCATCTCCAAACAGAGCAACAACCACCAGCATCCCTGCCCTGCTGGACCCAGCTCTGACTAGCCCTGCATGGAGCAGTTCACCCCAGAAGTGACTTCCAAAGCCCAGAGCCATGTGCCCAGCACGTACATGGTCAGAAAGATCAAAGACCAGCAGCCGTGGCGTGGCCACCAGGATGAGCCCGGGGAGAAAAGAGGGAGAACGTGATGGAGGATTTGGTGTTGAGAGGGGCTCCAGGGCAAATCACCTTGAGGCCCATGTGGAGCAGTGTAACCAGCCCTACCAATAGCGCCAGGACAGAGGGACCCAGGAAGAATTTGAGTTCGGAGCATCAAGGACAGGTTGGCATTGACTGCCCTTTCTGTATCCCGGGACGAATACAGTCCGCCCTGGGGACGGACAGCAGGCCACGAAGGACCGCAGCGGAATTGAAGACGTTCCACATGAAGGGTCACCTGCCGCCACATGGCCGAGAGAGCGGGGTGGCCAGGGAAGATCCAGCCCGCACTGCGTCGCATTATGGACTGACACCGGGTGCAGTTACAGGAGGACCCGCAGCACAGCTCCGGAGGGTTAGACAGCCTGGGACTACTGGCCCGATGCTGGGTGAGAATTTAGCTCCCAAGGGGCCAGACAGGATAAACTGCCGTGTCTGGAACCGGGCGACCGTGTTCACCCCAGGTTGGAGGGCGGATCCCAGCTGGGGTAACGAAAAGAGCCCAAACCCCAGACTATGTGATGGGGAACTCGGCAGAAAGCAGCGACATCTGCAGTTTGGTCCCTGGGAGGAAGGATTACCGACACCTCTCCAGACGACTCAGAGACTCCAGATGGGCCCCAGCCTGGTGGGGCAGCCCCTGGGCAGCCTGGCGACCCAGCTGTGACCCGTTCGGGCCGTGCAAGTAGAAAACCAGCCTGATGCCAGGAGGCCGAACAAACAGAGCTTCCCAGCCCACGGGGCTGTGGGGGATGGGTCCGGAGGACGGAACGGGGGCTGCATTAGCTTGTGCCGTGACTCGGTGGGGCTGCCAAGGCCCAAACGGGCCAGAGGTGTCCCCTGGGCAGCCTGGCGACCCAGCTGTGACCCGTTCGGGCCGTGCAAGTAGAAAACCAGCCTGATGCCAGGAGGCCGAACAAACAGAGCTTCCCAGCCCACGGGGCTGTGGGGGATGGGTCCGGAGGACGGAACGGGGGCTGCATTAGCTTGTGCCGTGACTCGGTGGGGCTGCCAAGGCCCAAACGGGCCAGAGGTGTAACGAGTGGCGCAGCCAGTCTGGTTCTGGGCTGTGGCGCGGTTGGGCTAGAAACTGGAGGGA